TGGAAGGTTCTGTGTCAGGTAGCCATCCACCCATAACCCATGGAGTCGTGGAATAAAAAGAGGGTGCAGAGGTAAATGTAAGGCAGCTTCCCACACGGACACCTGTTCACTTGGGGAAGTCTCCATCAGTGAATTTCCAGACTTTGAAAATATATAGGTTATGAAGTACTTGCTTTATAGGCAATTTCTCTAGTAGTTACTTCAGTAAAAGGAAATCTGGCAACTTTTATATGTATTCAAATTAATAGAATGTGTTTTTTGCTCTCCTTTTGTCACCCTTGTTTTTAATATCCTTCAAAGTTAGGTATTAAATGAATAATTACTCAAGTATTTTTTTATTGTGAAAATACCATACAGCGCGGTTACAATTTCATGGGCATGGTAAGGAGTGCATTTTTATTGTGAAAACACCACACAGCGCGGTTACAATTTCATGGGCATGGTAAGGAGTGCATTTTTTATCAAGCATTGCTGCCTCCTCATCATCCCTATTAGGGGTCTAGTGAATATATACCTAATCCATTCTGTATATTCACTATTTATGGACAAGTTAATAAAGCATGTTGCAAAGGTTTGTTATAATATGGGATGTGTTATTTTAGATGAACCAAGACATTCTAGCAGTTAATGTGTTGAATTTATAAACCTATCAAGTATGACCAGTCAGCAAGAAAACTTCTTATAATTATCGAGTTTTCTCCTTATCTGTTATCTGCGATCAAAAGAGCAGAGCAGTGTGCTGCAAGGAGGCTTGCTTGTTGTTTTAGCCTGTAGCAGCACTTTTCAAACTGGTAACCATCAACAAAACCCTTTGTTAGACAGTCCTAAAGCATTACCCCTGGCTTTCCCTGTGTGGCCATGTGTTATTGTCCTCCAAATGAGGGTTTTCAGAAACACAGTGACAAGAGCTGGCCATGGTTTTCCTATACAACTTGTCTCTTGGCAACTCTTAAGCACCAATTTAAAGCTACTAGTTAGGAATTTGAAGGAATCATTACAAGTAAGTTGAGTGGCTAGGAGCCTCCTGATTTGAAATGCCGCCTCATGTAATACTTACGGGACATTAAACAAGCCCTTCTCTATGTGTGCTTGTCCTATTGCCCCAGAATAACGTGGGATATCGTTGAGAATTGTTATCAAAAATGTAATATGCCAGGCACTGGCTCAGTACCGCCATCTTAGCTGCTCCAGAGCCTGAGATCTGAGGATTGTGGTTCAGAGTCAGTCCTGGCAGGAAAACCCGTGAGACTTTTACCCCAATAACCACCAGAAAACCAGAAGTGGTGCTGTGGCTCAAGTGTTAGAGTGCTAACCTTGAGCTGAAGAGCTGAGGGACAGCGCCCAGGCCCAGACTTCAAGTCCCACAACTGACCAAAACAAATTTAATGTACTGTCTGTACAGATTTGAAATGAATGCATAGAGCCTCTGAGTCAACATCTTTTTGACCTTGGACACTTCCTGTAACAATAACATAAAGAGTTATTCTTCTGAAGGCTAGGAGAGTAAATTAATGACACACAGCAGGGACTCTTCACCAGATTGTAGAGTGATCACTTTAAAAAGCATAATGGATTCCTTTTTTGCTTGCAAAGTGAAGCCCGAGGTACGTAAAGAGAGAACCTGTGTGTTGGAATTTTCCTAAGGGCAGTATGTGCCACGGTGCGGGAAGGTCCCAGGCCACCGCGTTCTCCACACAGATGCGTTACCGGAGCCACAGAGGCTCCTCCCAATGTGGTGTTCAGAGTGACTCAAACACTCCCTCCAAACACAGCTTCTTGGGCCATTCTTTCCATGTCACAATTAAATAAGGAGTCGAGGCTTCTCTAATTGTTTCAGTGAAACAGAATAAAGAAGGAAAAATAAAATTACTTTGCTGCCATTAAAAGAAGGCAAAAGGAGAGCATTTGATAGATCCTAATCGAGCTAATGATAGATGCTCAGCGCAAAATTAAGTACGTGTTTTTAAAACAAAATAGGACACTGGAAGCTAGGAGGAGTTTTAAATAAATTAATTTTGGCTGAAATATAAATTCTATTCCCTCAGCAAGAATTGTTTGCTCAGTACTTTCTATGCATTCGACATTGTGCTGGCAAATGATTAAAAATAAATGAAAAGGCCTAATTTGTTTTCATGAAGTAACGGAAGTGACCATATGTCCCAATTTACTTTTTCCTCTTGTCCTACCTACTCTGTCCAATTTGAATGATAAATTATGTAACCTGTTCTTGGTTTAGTGCAGCTAACACCCTACCTACTGCTAATAAAAATGTTTTTTTTTTGTTGTTAATTTGCAGTCTTCTCCTCTCCGTTGACCTCACCTTGTGGCCATGTTTAGCATTTGTAAAAATATTTCAAGCTGCAGAAGAACTTTTCCTACTTATTTCCAAAACAAGTTTAACTATTTCCACAAATTGAAATAATGTGTTCTTGGGATTCTTAAACCAAAAATAACTAATTAAATAAGCAAGCAAGCAAGCAGAAGTGTATTTCAGTCTGGCAGGAGAGAGTAGGGTGTTTCCTTTTCAGGGTAACATATGATTCCAGAACAGTCTGCAAACAGCCAGCTCAGTGCTCAGAGCCTGTTGTCCGTCCCAGATGCTTCCCAGTGTGCTTCTAGCTCACCGCTAGACATAAATGGTGGGCATGAATTCTCCAATGTCAAAACTATGTTTTAATCTTAACCTCTTTCTCCCTGTGCATTTGTAAGTATACTTTTCCCTGAAAGTTTACAATTTTTAATGTAGAAAAAAATTTACTTCTCAAATCTTTATGAGCTCAACTAATACTTTCCATAGGGGCTACCCAGTAACTCATCTATGCCTTGTTGGGGTTCTAGTTTTCTGCAGCACCCCAACTTACATTTTGGGTAATCAGAGGAGGAATGAAGAGATGTGTGTTCGGTGTCCAGACAGGTCCTACACGCAGATCACAAGCCTGTGTCTTGCAGTCTACCTGTCGATCTCATAAGTTCCATTACCATCTGTGCTGAAAACATGCTCTCTGGGTATTTGTCCTCAGGGACTGTGTATGATGCTGGGGTGCAGACTTGAGTAGTGATATTTAAAGATCTGATTCCTTGGATTCCTGCTTGATTAATTATCCCTTAATGATTTTTGGAGGATCGGTAGCTGTGGGTACTTTGGGAGAACAGATTTAACCCCACAGAGGAAGTTTGGGCTATTTTTATTCAACCCAAGAACGTGGAAACGGAGATGAATTTATGAAGCTTCAGCCTATCCTAACTTAGGTTCTTCATAAATGGTTCCAAGAATTTGTTTGTAGGGATCAGAGAAAAGACTTAAAACATCTGAGATAACTTTATCTATAGATATCTTAAGCAGCTAAGATATCTATAGAGATAGATAGATATTTGTTTGACTATCTCATTTTCAGGCCTTCACATTTCTTACTGGGGTGATTTTAAAGAATAAGTGGCCATAAAAATCAATACATGTCCTACAAAACTTAGAAGATTGAGAAGAAGGTCAGTGTTGGGAGAGATGGTGGGGAACAATGAGAGGGTGGCATCCATTCCTAAACTGAATGATAACTCCTCTGTACAACTACTTAACAACAATAAAATGTAATTTCTTAGTTTATTATTATGAAGGTCATAGACAAAGGGGTTACAGTTACGTAAGTCAGGTAAACAATGGCACCCAAGAATATAATTAAAAATAGTAAGTGAATATTGAAATATTTTTGCCCTTAATCACAGTTTGAAGGAGTCTGGGCTCTGGAGCGGAGCTCATTGAAGCTCAGGTCAGTAGCCCTGCAGGTATCAATCAGTGGGGGAGCTTGCTGTGTTCTTAACCTCCGTGACCTGGTCCCCTGTCTGCCCTTTCTTCTTTCTAGATTTACCTATTCACAGCACAGTAAAATATTATTATGGAACTCTAGTTTTATACTGTAAGAAAAATGAAGACGTCTGTTATCTGACAGTAGTAAAAGAATTCCACTGTAAACATCATTCGTTAAAATTAGGGGGCTGGGAAGGTGGCTCAGTGGTAGAGTGCTTGCCTCGCATGCATGAGGCCCTGGGTTCGATTCCTCAGCACCACATAAGCAGAAAAGGCCAGAAGTGGTGGTGTGGCTGAAGTAGTAGAGCGCTAGCCTTAAGCTGAACAGCTGAGGGACAGCGCCTAGGCCTAGAGTTCAGGCTCCAGGACCAACAACAAAAAATACTGGAAAAATTAAGCTGAGCTTCTTTCAATAATGATTGCTGCATAAAACAACTTCTGCCACTAAATTTAAAACAAATACAGCTGTTCTTAGCCATATGTGTTTTCCTATGGCCAAAACCATGTGTTAATTAAACTAGGACTGGTGAACAGATGTTTTACATGTAGTTGGTTAGAAGTGTTAAGAACTTAGAGAATTTTTATTAAAGATACTGTAATTGATAATTAAAGTCATGAAAGGGACCAAATTTTCCCCAAGCACATGGCTAAGTAAGGAATGTTTTATTACTGTGAGGAAATCTTGCTAAGATGTCATGAAATTTCATATGTCATTTGTGAGTGCCATACACTCTCCTCCCTTAAGGGGATTGGCAGTATAGTCCTGGGTTCGAGATTTCACACTTGAGGAACACTTAGACACCAGCGTGTCTGGGCTGCCTTCTGCTGAGCAAACCATCGGTGCTTCCATTGAAATCTGTGCTGTTACTGGGGATACGGATAGTCTTAGAGAAGAAATGCTCAGCCTTCTGTCCTTATAACAAGGATCTGATGATAAGAGGTAGCAGTTTGTGCAATTTAGAAATCTGTGAGTTCAGACAACCTGTTGCGATAAGGACCCACGGTGACTCAGGCCCTTGCGGTGACCAAGTTTGCCTGTCTGTTTTGCTGGGTTCGGTTCCTCAGTTTGCCTGTCTGTTTTGCTGGGTTCGGTTCCTCAGTTTGCCTGTCTGTTTTGCTGGGTTCGGTTCCTCAGTTTGCCTGTCTGTCTTGCTGGGTTCGGTTCCTCAGTTTGCCTGTCTGTCTGTCTGTTTTGCAGGCCCAGCCCGGGGACCCGGCGGCTCTGTTTGCTGCACAAGCACGGCCTTCTCCTCAGCCCCCTCAGTACCCAGGGCTGCAGCAGGCGCAGGTACTCACGTGTGTGTCAGGGAATTGTGGGGGTTTGGGGTTTGTTTGGTTATTAGCTTGAGATAGAATCGACCAGGTTGGCCTCAGACTCTCCACAGCTGGGATTATAGGCATATACTACCATATGTATACGGTGTACATACATACATATATAATATATATAATATATATATATATATATATATATATAAAATATAGGCATATGCTACTACAACTTATTTTAAGTAGGAGAGAAAATAAATAGGATATGAACTCCCAATGATACTTAGAATTTAGTTACTTCAAATTTCAGAATTGATTGAGGAGCATAAAACATTTTAGAAGCATAAAACATTCTTGAATTAGAAGGACAAATGGGGGGCTGGGAAGGTGGCTCAGTGGTAGAGTGCTTGCCTTGCATGCATGAGGTTGGATTCCTCAGCACCACATAAGCAGAAAAGTCTGGAAGTGGCGCTGTGGCTCAAGTGGTAGAGCGCTAGCCTTGAGCTGAAGAGCTGAGGGACAGCGCCCAGGTCCCATGACAGACCAAAAGAAAAAAAGTACAAATGAACTCAAACTTATATTAGTGGTTGTTGACATTAAATAATATCAGTTGACATTAATAATATCAGTTATTTATGTCATAATATGTACCATTATTTGTGATAAGTTGTTAGACTCAACAGTTGCTGGCAGCTCACGGGTCCTGCGACACTGTACACATGCTGCTGAGCTTTGTTTGCTCTTCTGTGAGGTAGAGATGAAAGATGTGAGAGAAGAAGACAACCTGTGGAATGAGTGTAGTGAAACGCACAGATGCCAGCAGAGGGAGCATTTGCTTTAGCATGGACCTTGAGTTATTCTTTTGTAGTTATTTTATTATTTCTGCATCTATATGCTCTGATCCCATTTCTTTCATGATCTTGTTAGCAAGATTCCCTTCGGGGCTGATGTCCATTCTGGGTCCAAGGCTGAAAGCAGAGCCAGGGTGAGCCTGGCAGACCCACACCCTTCTGTGGGGGTCACTCCTGATGGCTGGTTGCAGAAGCTCATCATCCATGACTCTTCGGGGCCAAAATATCAGGCGCTTCACAGACCTGCTCTATGAGTTGTGCCTAGTGGTCCATCAAACCTGTCTGCTTACATAAGGCCTTGAGAGTTAGAGAAGGAGGAGCCCATACATTAGTGTCAGGCAGGTTCCTGTGCGTGGAATACTGAAGTTAGCTCTGGTCCAGGCTGACCATCACCAGTGTACCTCCCTTTGTGTTTTAATAGCATTTTGCTTCTTGGTACTGATTAGTCGCTCCAGGCATTGTTATTAGTCCCAGATAGTATTGTCACATACGGGGAAGGTGTGCTCCATGATTTTAACTGAGCATCTGTACCTGTGCTGACAAATCTTGGCAACGTTATTAATGATGCTTGTGATCCATTGTACATAAATGGTATCCATGCACTGAAGGTGTAGATGAATGCTTGGCTGTTTATTTCTGAATAGAAACCATTGTCTTCTTTCCCTACAAATAAGCAGCTGATCTTATAAGCCACATTAACCACATGAGGGTTATTTGTAGATTGAAACTTTTGGTAAGTTGTCAGACATCCAGTTCAGTCCGTAGGTTTACAGCTTCACTTCTGGCCTCCAGAGCAGCATTGCTCATATTTCCAGTCATCAGGGCCCCAAGAGCAGAAAGTTCCAGGGGCTTGCTTTGCCTCATGTTTCTTAGTGATGAGAATCCTGGCAGGAAGTGGGGACACTGATTTTTTTTCCCTTGTGCTTTCCTGCAGACCATGCCCCAGGGGTACACGATGTACGGAACTCAGACACCTCTGCAGCCAACGGTACAGCCGCAGGCCGGTGGTGCGGTCCTGTCCCCCGGCTACAATGGCAGAGCCCATCCAGCTGCACACTCCAGCCCCGTGCTGGTGGACCGCCTCCGGCAGATGCAGCCGCAGCCCGGTGGCTATGTGCAGCGGCAGGCGCCGCAGTACCTGCAGACCTTGGCTAGCGCTCAGAGGTGATGCCACCTTAGAGTAACAAACCCTTGTGTTCCTCCTCCAGGATGGAGCTTGTGATTGTGTTAGTGACCCTGTGTGTCTGCAAATCATCTTGTATTTGGTCATCTCATTTTTAGCAGTGCCCAGAGAGAAGTTCCAAATAAGGAATGTTTCAGCTTGCTTGTTGAAGTTGTGTATGTGTTAGATTTTAAATGATAGTAATGTTCTTTTTTGTTGTTGTTGTTGTGGTCATGGGGTTTGAACTCTGGGCCTGGGCGCTGTCCCTCAGCTCCTCAGCTCAAGGCGAGCACTCTACCACTTGAGCCACAGCGCCACTTCCGGTTTTCTGAGTGGTTTATTGGAGCTAAGAGTCTCACGGACTTCCCTGCCCGGGTTGGCTTTGAACCATGATCCTCAGATCTCAGCCTCCAGAATAGCTAAGATTACAGGCGTGAGCAGCACCCAGCCAATAGTAGTATTCTTTACTTGTTTTTCTTTTTTGCCAATCCTGGGGCTTGAACTCAGGGCCTGGACACTGTCCTTGAGCCTCTCTGTGCTCAAGGCTAGCACTCTACCACTTGAGCCACAGCACCACTTCTGGCTTTTTCTAGGTATGTGGTACTGAGGTACCCTGGTACCCAGGGCTTCGTGCATGCTAGGCAAGCACTCTACCACCGAGCCACATTCCCAGCCCTACTTCTCTTTCTTAAAGATTTTTTTTTTTTTTACTTAACATATCCAAGAGAGAAAACGGTTATCATTGTTAGCAATGCCTCACTAGAGTTTGCTGACTGGAGCCATTAAAACTCAAGATTGCAATACTGACTCCAGACGGTGCCTGTGAGAACTAGCTCCATTATAACTTAGTTTCTGCCTTCTGTACCTCAGGGATGATCGTGATAGACTCGTTTCTGTCTTCTGTACCTCAGGGATGATCGTGATAGACTCTTCTTCATTCTTGTCTTAGTCAAACATGCAATGGAGCTGTATCAGTCCCTGTCCTAGCCGCCACCCACCTGTAGCTATTGCTAGGCATTACGGTGATCATGAGTCTCCTGTCAAGTATTATGTGGCTCTGTGTGGTCAGCACGGCCAGCGTCAGCATGTGTTATCTTTGCAGCTACGCTAGGTGCCATACTTATGAGGGTGCTTGCTAGATCTGTAGCTTTGTTATGTCTTGAAAAATCTTCTTTCAGATTGAGAAGTCCTGCAATTTTGTATTGAGACCCAAAAATTAGGTAATGAGTTTTAGTGGTTGTGTCTGTTTTATTAGTACAGATTGAAAACTTTCTATTCATCATAGATGGGTCCACAGGGCAGTTTTGACCAAAAAAAATTCAGTGTTGTGGAAATGTTTGTACTCTGTCAGATAGCAGCATCAATGATAGTACGTCATCTGCACTTGTGGGAAATTTGAGAAGGTTGGTGCTTCATTTGAAACATACACATTGTATTTACTATTTTTACAGTAAGTGATAGCCTAGAAAAATTATAAATTCTGGATTTAAAAAATAAAAAAATTAAAAATAGTGTTTTACTATCAAACAATTCTTGTTCAAGTCCCACCTGTGCCATTTACTTTCTGAGTAGCTTCAGTTACTCGATCTGCTCTCTTACTTTTGAAGTTGGATGACAAACCCTGCTGACTTCCAGGCGCTGTGTACATGAAGCTCCCCTGGCAGTGTTCAGGAAAGTGTTTCCTAGGGGATGGCCATTTACCGTGGGCAGAGTGCTTGAGTCCCTTCCCCTCATGTGGTCCTGTCTGCGAGCTACACTCTGGCCTTTTCCTGTTAGAATTGTGCAAGTTAGTTTTGAACACTGACAGTTTCTTGTGGATGTGTCTGCCGTGCCGGTGTCTCTGATTACAGCGGGGTCGTACATGTGGGCTTGAAAACAAATCGCATTATTCTTTGCCAGACTGACTCATCAGGCTCTGCCGCAGAGCCCTCTGGTGGGCACAGGCGTCTCGGCTGTGCTGACCTCGGCACCTCCAGCCCTCCCCTCAGTCCCCCCGCCTCAGGACCCCGGGAGGCCCGGACAGCCGCCAGCCCGACCGCAGCAGAGACTCCTCCAGGTACGGACAGGGAGATGAGGGGGAGGCAGACCTGCAGCAGAAAGGGGAGAGGCAATGGGCTCAACCCCAGGAACCAAACCAGCACGATTGAGTTGTAATGTGGCCGAGCGTGTGCCCGGTCTCGTGGGAAAGCGCGCTTTGCAGCCCCTCCTCCCCTCTCACAAGGGTTAGGACGGCTTTCCCAGTAACCAGACCATTGCCGTCTGAGGTCTGAATGCTCACATTCCACATGAGCGCGGGGAGGAGAGAGAGTCGGGGGAGACGGGGCGGGGAGAGGAGCCTCATCGGTCCCAGAAGTGTTTCTGCATTATCTCTGTCCTGGTTAGGCTATGAAATGGGAAGAACCCAGGTAGAATATTCCCAAGGAACATTTCTCCATAGAATCCAAAAACTGTCATTCACGTACCTGACCTAAGTGCCCGAGATGTCCAGATAAGAAGTTCTTCACACGGATCCGTGCTTGGCTCTACTCTCCTCAGAGCAGGTGACCAGCTCCACCAGCACAGCTGTCTGAGAGGCAAAGGTCAGGAGTATCAGAGTTCAAGTCCAGCTCAACAAATAAAACATGAGACCAAAGTATCTAAAGGAAGATGGCTCAGTAGCAGAGTGTGTGCCTAGCAAGCCCACGGCCCTGAGTTCAAACCCCAGTACTGCAGAAAGAAAAGTTGCATCACATTAATGGTGGTCCATAGTCATTGGTTTGGGGAAGGGCACCCTATGGATTCTGATTCTATTCGTTGTACAGGTATGAATTTAAACAAAACAGTAAAACTCCTCTAGTCTCCACAAAATAGAAAAATAATCCTGCTGCCTACCAGGATTATTATATATATGATGATATTATGTACTATGATGCTGTTATAACCAGGAATAAACAAGAACATTCAGCCCAAGCACTAGCTTGAGAATGTTACTATTGAGATTTCCACTAATGTGACTGTTAATAGTTTTAGTGATACAAAGAACTCTGTCTCTATTTGAAATTTGTCATTTCTAAGTAACAACAGTAGTTACTACATAACTTACATAGCAATTTCTGTCTCGCAGGTGTTCTTCAAGGCGACAGCTATGCAAAGCCTAATCCCATTGTGTAATATCTACACTCCATCCCTGTTGCTTCCTCAAGGCGACAGCTATGCAAAGCCTAATCCCATTGTGTAATATCTACACTCCATCCCTGTTGCTTCCTCCTGGTTGTTTTTCTTATTCACAGTACCATGCCCGGAGATAAAGTGATCTGAGACAGGCACAGGGCCTGTAATCCCAGCTGCTTGGGAAGTGTAGCTGGCAGGTTGGCAGGTCAGCCTGGGTGAAGGTCAGGGTGAGACCGACCCTCGGCTGGATAAGCAAGGCAGGCAGGGGTCACACCTGCAACCCTGGCTCTCTGGAGACATAGGTAGAGGGAGGGTCACGCCCAGGCATGGGTGAGGTGAGACCCTATCCAAAACAACTACTCAGGAAGGGCAGGGGCATGGCTCCTGTTCAAAGCCCTGAGTTGAAATTCCAGTACCACCAAAAAAAAAAAAAAAAGGCAATTTGCGACTGTCTCAATTATGGCCTCTCTTCTTTTTGGTGTTTGGCTACCTCCATAAAGGAAAAAGTTAACTATTATGAATCCAATTGCATCTTTCTTAGATGTTTTCACTGAAAGGTAAATGAAACACTGACCGTATATGGCGGTACTTTGTTTCTAGCCCAGTTTAGACTTTCCATGTTGGGAACTGCCCCGCGGGCCTGCCAGGTTCCATGCTGACAAGCACTGTCGCTTACTGAGAAACGCTTTCCTGTTACTTCACTCTGAAACAGCCACACAGTTGGTGGGGGAGGCAGGAGCAGGCAAGTCTAGCTGGAAAAGGCAGTGTGGACTATCAGAGGCAGACATCACCCGTAGGAATTATCGGGATGGCGGAAACTTTAAAGATCTTTGAGTGAGGACCGGGTGCAAGTTCTCTTCTCTTCCCTCCTGGTGGGCCTGTGTGCTGTGTTCCGCCTGCGGCTTGGGCATATTTCCCAGGAGCTATGTGGACAAGCCACCTCACTAACTCGATTTCTAATTTCCTGCCAGGACATCTTTTGGGGACTAGCCCATATCTTCTGTTAGAAAGAGACAGAGACAGAGACAGAGAGACAGAGACAGAGAGACACACAGAGAGAGAAACCCTCAAGAGTACCACCAGTGTCATCAGTCCTGGAGGACCTGACAGTGAGAGGAACGCAGAGGAAAGAAGCTGAGAATGAGCTCAGACGTCCACTGTGTGAGACGCTGACAGAGAGAGCTCAGACGTCCACCGTGTGAGACGCTGACCACAGAGAGAGAGAGAGAGCTCAGACGTCCGCCGTGTGAGACGCTGACAGAGAGAGAGCTCAGACGTCCACCGTGTGAGACGCTGACCACAGAGAGAGAGCTCAGACGTCCACCGTGTGAGACGCTGACCACAGAGAGAGAGAGAGAGAGAGAGAGAGCTCAGACGTCCACCGTGTGAGACGCTGACCACAGAGAGAGAGAGAGAGCTCAGACATCCACCATGTGAGACGCTGACCACAGAGAGAGAGAGCTCAGACGTCCACTGTGTGAGACGCTGACAGAGAGAGAGAGAGCTCAGACGTCCACCGTGTGAGACGCTGACCACAGAGAGAGAGAGAGCTTAGACGTCCACCGTGTGAGACGCTGACCACAGAGAGAGCTCAGACGTCCACCGTGTGAGACGCTGACAGAGAGAGAGCTCAGACGTCCACCGTGTGAGACGCTGACCACAGAGAGAGAGCTCTGACGTCCACCGTGTGAGACGCTGACAGAGAGAGCTCAGACGTCCACCGTGTGAGATGCTGACCACAGAGAGAGAGAGAGAGAGAGAGCTCAGACGTCCACCGTGTGAGACGCTGACCACAGAGAGACAGAGAGCTCAGACGTCCACCGTGTGAGACGCTGACAGAGAGAGCTCAGACGTCCACCGTGTGAGACGCTGACCACAGAGAGAGAGAGAGAGAGAGCTCAGACGTCCACCGTGTGAGACGCTGACAGAGAGAGCTCAGACGTCCACCGTGTGAGACGCTGACCACAGAGAGAGAGAGAGAGAGAGCTCAGACGTCCACCGTGTGAGACGCTGACCACAGAGAGAGAGAGCTCAGACATCCACCGTGTGAGACGCTGACCACAGAGAGAGAGAGCTCAGACGTCCACCGTGTGAGACGCTGAAGGGAGCTGTGTTAGTCATGTCCCTGTCTGTCTGTAACAAGTGACACGCGCGCGCGCGCACACAGCCTCTGCATGACACACACACACACACACACACACACACACATACACACCCTCTGCATGTAGTAGAGCTTTCTATAGTCTATGCACATAGTACCAAGATGGACTAGTAGCCATATTTTTGAATATGTCTGCCCAGTTTTAGGTTCCACATATTTTGTGTAAACAGAATAATCATTGAATAAAGATAGTATGGGGACAGTGGACTCTGGGACTCAGAGATTGTATCTACCTCTTCTTTTTCCCTTTTTTGGTGCCTGTCCTGGGCTTGAGCTCGGGCCTGGGCGCCGTCTCTAAGCCTCTTGTGCTCAGGTGAGCGCTCCACCCCTTGAGCCACAGCGCCATGAAGAGCTTTTCTGTGCCTGGTGCTGAGGAATGGGGCCCAGGCCTCCGCTCACTGGGCGAGCACTGTGCACTGAGCCCGCCTCCCACGGTTACCTCTCTTCTTGTTTCAGACGCAGCAACCCCAGCGGCACCCCCCGGCCCCGAGCCAGGCCCCTGGTCCCCAGCCCGGGCCGCACCAGCAGCCTTTGGTAAGGCCCGTGCGGTCGGTGTGGAGCCTCCTCGGAGCGGGCCACACCTGGCAAACACCAGAAATGACCGCGAGCGCTGTGGCAGCTCTCCCTAGAACTGCATCGGTTTTACTGATGCTCTCCATTCATGTGTTTACCTTCATTGAAAAGGAAAACCAACCCTTGGTGTTTCATGGCTTACACTGCTCTCTTTTTAATGTCAGACTGTTGCATGGATGAAACTCGCATTGGGACATCAAGCTCTTTTTCTAACCATATTAGAACGATTTAGTATGTATGAACATAGAGCACAGGCAGCGATTTTATTTTTTATTTTTATTTTTTTTGTTGGTCGTGGGCCTTGAACTCTGGGCCTGGGCACTGTCCCTCACTGTCTACCACTTGAGCTACAGCGCCACTTCCACAGGCAGCGATTTTAAAGACCACATAGTGAAACTGCATGTAGCCACTCAGAATTTTTGCAAGAATTTCTAACTAGCTCAAAATCGGACACAGGTATCTTTATAAATCAGATTTGTAAATTACATGTGCAAAGAACAAAAGTTTTCTAAGTCTCAGTAGTTCATAACAGCCTTTACTTGTTTGCAAGTGCCATGTCCTCCCTTTATTATTAATTTACTATTTTTCTTACTTTTTTATTTACTTAAGTGCTTCTTTAAAAAAGGACTTTGCCAGTATCATTGAGATCACATCACCTGACATGGTGTATTGGGAATATTGTTGAAAATAAATACTTTGAATTTAATTAAATTGAATTCAGTTTAATTTAATTCAATTTAATTAATTGAAGTAATAAATTGAATTAGGAGAAAAGCCATGTGAGTTTTTGTGAGATTAAGAGTAGTAGGCTCACCAGGCACCGGTGGCTCACGCCTGTCATCCTAGCAACTCAGGAAACTGAGATCTGAGGATCACAGTTCAAAGCCAGCTGGGGCAGGAAAGTCCGTGACACTCTTACCTCCAATAAAAACTACTAGAAAACCAGAAGCAGCCCTGTGGCTTAAGTGGTAGAGTGCCCGCCTTGAGCTGAAGAGCAGAGGAACAGTGCCCAGGCCCAGAGTTCAGCCCCAGGACCGACCGAGAGACACCCACACACCCACACACATGAGCGGTAGGCTCATACTGGTGTACACACACACACACAAGCAGTAGGCTCATACTGGTGTACACACACACACACACAAGCGGTAGGCTCACTGGTGCACACATAT